TGACTGATATCAGCTGATGTTCTGTTGATAATTGATCAGTACACATTATTTTTTACAACCTTTTAAGACATCTCAAATTAATTTTTTTATTATGAAACCCGATATATAGGAATGTGTCAATTGCCTTAAATATTCGATATTTTCACTGAGAATTGGTAGAGAAGGTCTGGGTAAATCAGCAGTTAAAGTTTGTCGAGTATAATTTATGGCATGTTGAGAAGAAAATAAATTTTTATAATTTGTCAAAGTACCGTCAGTAAGATCTTCCTCGCAGTTGGCACCAAGTGAATGTGGTGATATCAAGTTGTTGAGCATTAACGTTTTATACAATTGAATGAATGATGCACAAGTGGGATTAGTACAACCAAGACTTCTGACTGCACCAAAAAGGTTTTCCAGTGGATCTTGATTCAAATTTCTGGTCAACAATGACTTCAATCCTTACACATTTAACACTTTTGATAGGTATTGGAAACCTTTAAAACATTATTATTAGTAGGTTGCTGACTAACTGTACTATATTAATTACCTCTGATGGTGACTATCCAGTTTCTTAACGTTGGAACACTAACAGTTTTCATATTTTTTCCCACAAACTTCATTGATAATAGAATTGGTAGACTTTTTTCCCATAGATTATGGTGAACAGAATTTGTCTTTACTGCAGTTCTATAAATTTTGCCATTAACTACTTTATCGAAAGAACCATTCATTGAATCGAACAACTTATCAAAAAATAATAGAAGTGTTGCAGTATCAACAGCATCAGAATCAATAATATTTTGAGCTGTAAACAAAAATATCATAAATGTATCGATAGTTATTATTTAATTGTAATAAATATTACTCACTAGCAAGGAAATTCATAACCGCAGATACACAATGACTGAATACCTGTGTGGCACATTTCACTTTCATTTTAGTTATTTTTTCAGGAATAACGTGTTTATCTGACAAACGAGGAAGGATTTTTGAACAATTTGTAACCTTTCGTCATCAACTTCAACCTCATAAAAATCATCTTTATACAGTTTACTTTGTCTTATACAATATTCCCTAGTTTCTGCATTCAATATTTTAATTGCTCCTTCATTTGCTCGTCCTTGGTCAGAAATAGTGGCAACAATAACTAACCCAGTTCTGTGTACTTCACGAATAACCTATTAGAAATAAATTAATAATATTAACATATTATACACAATTATTTGATGTTCAATTTACCTCTTTCAACAGTTGCACCAGCTCATTTTGTTTGGTGGCTGCTTGGCAAAATGTATAACATATCGGTTGCTTAAACTTCTTTCTAATCCCTCTGACCATAAAAACAAGCGCATGATCAGCTAAGCTTTGATTTTTATAGGTACCAGAGTCAACAAATCCATCAATCACATCTGTTGATRGTGTATACTGAATACCACTACTTAGACTTATTTCATCAAAAAGGATTGAACAATACCTAAATAAATAAATGTAAAAGAATTAAATTGTATTATATGAAATCCCGTGCATGACCCACGTTACAAGTAATATTTTTAACAAAAACATCTCAACTCACCTATCGATTGGTTTGTTTTTTTACATTTTCTTTCAAAACACTCATGACCAAACTCATGACTGATTCCAGGACGGATTGAAACACTAGAAAGGATTAAATTAAGTGTTCTTTTGCTAGGTAGAGTGAATAGCTTTGACAGTATTCTGTAACACTTGGGGCTCTTTTTGAATAACGTCAGACTCAACATTTTTTCTTCTGCGTTTCCCGTACTTGTAGTCGTGTAAACATGGAAGCCGCAGGTGTCATTTTGGAAAGTAATTTATCTGACAAAGTTTCTGCTGCTTGTAACCTCCTTTTAAAAAGTTGTTTTCTACTTCCATCTAGCCTTCATTTTTTCACCAATTGATTGGCAATAATATACAATTTTTTACATTTTGATGTCAAATGACTACACTTTGTAACACCTATCTGTTTTAATAAACCTATATATGAACATAAGAAAAATATTAATTAATAATGTATCATAATAATTATATTATATGAAAGCTTAAATTCTATTAACCAGTATCTTTTTTCTTTGTTTTTCGATTTTCAACTTGTGCAGATATTCTAGTTACATTACAAAGCAAGCCATTATCATCATCTGCATAGCAAAGCAAAACATATTTGAAAGTCATGCCATCATGGTGTTAAATATAGGCAAATAGTAAATTTATAGTTATAACTTATAGAAACTTCTAGTGTACTAGTTTTAATTATTTCAATGCAAAATTCTCATTAAATACTATAATATATCATTGAGTAATATAAGTGGAATATAAAAAGTATAAAGCTAGCTACGTAATATGTGCATTAAAAAAAATTTAAAACTATTATCCACACACGTAATAACTGAGATAGTGTATCTAATACATCAAATCCAGACAAGTCGAGATTGGTTGATGAGGTACTAAGCAGGTTCACTTCTTTACAAGATGAATTATCTACTATAATGCATTTATATAGACATTTTACACACACACACATATATATATATATATATTAATATTACTATAAAACTAATTATTTTACCTGCCGGTATATTTAATGTAGGATATGAATTACAGTTCAATCTTTTAGTCCCAGGACTCAAACAATCGCTTGTGAAATGTGCACCACAAATCCTTTTCTTGTTGTACACAATTTGAGGATCTTCATGTTCTAACTGGGCAATTTTCATCCATTCTCACAATCTTATAGGATAAAGTCTGACGTTTGGAAACCGATGAGATATAACATCTAATATAACAAAAGGTGCAGGTTATATAAATATGCCTAATATGTAGTTACATAACAATACTAACCTTTGGCTTTACATCCCTTTATACAACATTGGTATAATACCATTGTGTAAGAAAAAATTAATCTAACACGATAGAATACACTACACGAATAGTTGAATGACAAAACTTGAAAAGTCGAAAACGTGGAAAAAAAGAGCAAACGGAAAAAATACAAAATGGTATACCAATCTATGATGGCAGATTAACGGGCAACCATAGATTAGTATACAACGGCAACGGCGCGCCGGGATCGAGGAACAATAGTTATAAACGCATGCGCAGTAACGATCATATGTGGCGCGCCTGGTGTTTGGTAGGCATTACTACGCGGTACTTATTATTTTATAAGAGTGAGACCAGCCTGGACACATCCAAATAAAAATGTATACATTTTTTTCCAGTTAATGACATTTTCATGTTTATTCATTACAGAATAAAAAACATCATACATTATACCTTACCTGTAGCATCTTGGGCAAGTTTTAGACTCAATAACCTCTCATAATTATTACTTCTTGATCATAAAATATTGGATAACCAAACTAAATTGTTCAATATTTGAGATATCTGTTTCAATATGATTGATTGATGTTTGATTACTAAAACATCCAAAYGTACCGATTATAGCTGTCTTAATATGAACTCTTGAACATGACTACAAAGTAAGCATACACAAAATTACATTTTGATTTTCATATGATAGAAATACATTATATGTTGGAACTATTAATTAACAATGGTTAGTGAGTACATGAAATACTATGGGKTAAGGGTAGTGACTAGTGAGTAAATAGGTATATTTTTATTTTCCCAGAGGCAATCTTAAAATCAACTAGAGTGATTTAAAAATAAACTACATTAACTATAACCTATGTGTATAGAATAGATTTTAAATAAAATATTTAAAGAATACTTTATATACAAACATTTATATTACTATTCATTTTTGATTAGCTTAATAATATATTTTTTAAGTTATCAATGAGATGAGGCATAAGGCTAACTATAAAATATAATAATAATATAAATTATTTAAACAATATAAAGTAATAGAACTTGTTAAATTAAAATTATAACATAGGGTTTAAGCAAAAAAAAAAAAAAAACATGTGTATATTAATGAAATTCCTTATTAATATAAATTTGTGTGCTTAATTAAAGAAGTATTAATAGGTACCTTGACAAACTAACTCACTTTTAAACTCTTAAAATATGTAGTATGTAGTATGTTTGGGCAATATTCATTTATCATCATTTATCATTTATACAATCACACAAATATCAAGTAGAAACTAGATTGGGAATTATTTTTGTCACCAATATTTTTAAAGTTATAACTGACGCCAGGGATATTATGTAGATCAAATGTTTTTTAAATCATATTCTATTATGGCATAAAAAAAAATATATTATAACTCAAACAAATTTGGCAAATATAAGTATTTTATTGAAATTATTATTTTAAATTACAGAAACATAAATGGAATGAAATACAAAAGATATCTTAAAATTAATTAAATTTAAGTGTTACCTAAATAATATAAAGCAAAATATTTTGGTTAGTTAAATACTTTAAAATCGTACATTATTAACATCTTTTATGTATGTATAAAATAGGATAGATAGGGAAATATTTTTTAATCAAAAACAGTAGAACTATAATAATTTTTAGATCGTTCTTAGATAATTTTTTAAAACTTAATTATTATTGTTAGGTACTTATTAATGTATTTATTTACGCAGCACTATTCAATAAAGATTTATATATTATACCATTATAAAATAAACAAATCAATTAAATTATAAAATTACAAAAGCTGATACTTCTACCGACTGAGCAAAGCCCATTTCTAGAACTAATATAAAAACTACAAAGCTAATTAGCAACTAAAACAGGCATATCAAACTCAAAGTAACAAGTGGGTTAATATATTTAAAAGCTCACTATAGAGCCCATGGTATGTTAACTAATAGATTCCGTGTCATCGAGATCCCGGTAACCATTCTGATAAGAACATATACCAGGCCTGAGTCATTCAGATCTCGAGACAATATGGTCCTGCGTCATTTAGATCCACTGACATTTATAGATCCCAGCTTGTTTGACACAGCTAGATCCATTTTTAAAATTTAAGTTAGTAAAGAATTAATAATGCCTTTACAATTTACTCTCCTTGCAACTACAATTAATAATAACTTTTAACATGGTCAGTGTCAATTGTATAGCTTTTCGTTTGTATACTACCACCTAGATACCCACATCACCCTTAAATTTGCTGCATATATAATAAAATCAAATGCATATTGCATATAAAAATAATATAACATATAAAACAGTGGAAATTGCTCTGCTGTACAGTAGGTTATAAATGGGTTACTGTAATGGATGGAATTCAATTTGAATTCAATGATATTATATCATTATATACTACAATGTCCGGAATTGTACATTTTGCCATTTGTACAGTGATTTTTGTACACATCGCGAATTGTACAATGTTGCTGTACAAAGTAACTAGATTGTATAAGTTTTGTTATACAATTCGCGATGTGTACAATAATCACTGTACAAATTGMGAAATGTACTTTCATTGTTGAAACCACAAGATTACTGCTAGTTTTAAAGTCTTAATTATTATTAACAAATAAATAGAAATACTGCCATACTGGATATTTTAAAATAAAGTTATATAAATTACAATATAATAAGTGGTATGTTTTAAAAGTATTTTATTACAAATATTACATCGCTATTTGTACAGTGATTATTGTACACATCGCAAATTGTATAATGAAACTTGTACAATCTAGTTTCTTTGTACAGCAACATTGTACAATTCGCGATGTGTACAAAAATCACTGTACAAATTGCAAAATGTACAATTCCGGACATTGTATGTAACATATGCATACAACCTAACCAATGTTTAAAATTTTTGAATAATACTTTAGATTTTATTTTTTTATATATTTAATTAAAATTATTTTTTATATATTTTACCAATGATGTGTAAACAATTTTTAAATAATACTTAATTAAATATTTTAATTTTAATTGTTAAATACTTAATTGTTGTAATTTGACTTTTTTTCCAACTGCTATATTACCTATAGATTATGATAATTTATTATTAATACTTATTAAAATATTGGATTTTCCGGTGGACATTTTTTTTTTTTTTTTGATAAAGGTAGAAAAATTTATAAGGAATCTTGAATTAAATTTTCAAATCTTAGATTTTCATATAACATTTTATATGAATTTCTATCTCAGATAACTTTAAATGCTTATTAAAAAAAGTTGTGACTATGTAAGTTTAATATTTTTAAACTGCTATTGAAACAATATGTTGGAAGCCTTATATTAAATTTTGAAGCTTTTTGACCAAACCACTAAAATTTTATTGACATTAATAGAAAAAAAAAACTTAAAAAGCTGAAAAAATAAAACGCCAGTAAATAGCTCAAAACTAATCAAAATATTTTGAAAATCTTATCAAATATAGAAAATGTCTATATAAGCATTCTGTGAAAATTTCAAGTATCTGCGGTCATTTGTTTTAGAGTTACACCAAAATAAGAAAATCGCTAAATGAGAAATCTAGTGAAAATCTAATGTTGTAAAAATTTAAATTCCAAACGCTCACAAAAATTTAATTTGAATTTCTAGTGGACATTTTTTTTTTGTGGTAAAAATTGACAAACTTGTAAAGAATCTTGTAATAAATTTTCAAACTTAGATTTAAAAAGAAATTTTTTTATGAATTTCTAGCTTAAAATAAATTGCGAATTTTTGTGATTTTTAAATTTTTTGTCAATGTTTAAACTTTGATTTGAATGCTTATAAAAAAAATTGTGACTGAATTTCTTTTATTTTTCAACTGCTATTGTAACAACATTAGTCGGTTAGAACGGTTAGGTAATAGATGGAATTAAATTTGAATCCAACGATATTATATCATTGTGACATTGGTATATAAAAAAACGATTCTGAGCGGAGACGATTTATCTGTCTAGGATATATTTTAGATTATTATTACTTATTATTAATACTTATTAAAATATTTGACTTTCTGGAGGTCTTTTTTTATTTCGTCGTTTAATTAATTTCAAACACTCATAAAAATTTAATTTGACTTTCTGGTGGATATTTATAATTTATATTATGATAAAGGTTAACAAACTTATAAGAAATCGTGTATTACATTTTCAAATCTTAGATTTAAAAATACATTTTTTTATGAATTTTATGAATATATTAACATAAGCACAACATTATTAACATTAATTTTATAATTTAAAATTTATATTATAATATCGAATTTTTTGATAATCGACAAATCCTATTTTCAGGACTTTTAGATCAAAGCTCGATAATATGATCCCGAGATAACTAAATCCATGTTGTTACCATATGTATGGCTAAGATCTCAATGACCCGAGTCCTATTTGTTCATACACMRRRCATATAAAAATTTAAAAAAATTCTCATTTGATTAGTTTATCAGAATATAAGACAGTATAATAATGTAAACCAAATAAACCATTCTCTAAGAATCTAAGATAGTTGTAACACAACATTAATATTTTATTATTTTTATTATATCATTTTATGTTTTTGTTCATTAATATTGGTAGCCGCCGGGCCACAAAAAATTGAGCTGAGGGCATGTTTGACATGCCCGAATTAAAATCATATCATTTTGTTAATTCAGAGACCACATAAATAAAATATAAACTTACTAAACAACCTTTATTTTTATAAAAAAAACTCGGGAATATAAAAATATAACTTTAAATTGGATCAAAAACATCAGAAAAAAAAATATCCAACCTAAAATTATAACTGTTGAAGAGTTTTAAGTGTTTTAACTTTTCATTTAGGAACCACTTTTCTAGGACTCCAGAGGTTGTGTGTTAGGYCTTGTTGGCATTGTTGGAGATGAGCCGGCTAGGTAATATATTATATGATTAAAAATAACTGCAATTTACTTGTCATATTTTAGTTCATTATTGAAAACATATCCATAAATGTTTTGACTAGGACTCTTCAAGTTCTGTAATTTTCTTCAAATGGGCAGGAAAATAACAATATACTTGGTACTGCTTGTTCAGCCTAAAAGACAAAATGTATTATAATAACAGGTAACTGCATTAATACAATTGTATTAATAATGTTAATAAAATATATAATAAATGGGTATCTAAAAACATTTATGTTGGGGTACACAAAGTAATCAGTTGAAGTGAAGTGTGTGCAACAAACTACCTATATGATATTTGAATGGTATAAAATTTTTGAGATATATTATATAATATGCAGAAACTCATAATATGAAATATAACATAACAAATTAAAAAGCTGAAAAATTGGTATGTGACAGTGGCGTGCAGACAAGACACAATGGGGCCCCACTTGAAAATTGGGTGGGTGTGGTCGTGTGGGTTTTTTTAAATTTTTTTACTTAATAAATATTGTTTTCATATAACTGTATAGAGGCCCTTAGTAAAACATATATTATTTGTAACTTTTATTTTTGGKTGGGTGATGGTGGGTGTAAAAAGTTAACTTTGCCCCACGTGGAAAAAGAGATCTGCACGCCACTAGTATGTGATAAGCCATCAATTCAAAAAAATGTAAAAGAAGTGATTGATTCAGTTGAAAAAAGTAGGAAGCTTTATTTTATGCTTTACTGTAAAATTAAATATTAAAATATTTTAATATTTGTTAATAGAATTAAAATAAAGAAAAAAGCATTTGATGTACTTTGGAAATACAAATTAACTGAGAAAAAACTGTGAATTAGCTCACATCTAACCCCTCCCCCACTGGACCACAATGGTATACCACAGGCATGTCAAACAACAAGTATCATGTGGGCCAAATATTCCTCATATTTTTTGGTTAGTACTACACTTTACTAACATTTAAAAAAATCATTTTTAACCTCAAAACTGGTTTAAATAAAGTTTCCTGAATCTATTGAAATGTTAAGTAAAATATTAGTGTAATGTAATACTGTCAAAAAATATTAATTTAATATTTAATAATATAATTATTTATTAAATTAAAATTATTTTATTTAATTTGATAATTTGAATTATCAATTAAATAATTGTGGGTCAAACTAGCATAGAATCAGAAAAAATCTGGAATCCAACTAGTGTAGCATCTGCGATTAACCCCTTTTACTTAAGACCCAACTCAGATACACCGGCTATATTGACTAATGATTATCAATATATATATATATAATCATGTCATACAATAATGAAATAAGAAATATATTGTTTTTTATAGTGTAGTTTTTAGGTCAGACATTCAAACTAAAAATTACCTAGAATCTTTTTATATAATCTTTCTTTATCAAATCTTTTTTATTCATCATTAATATCATAACTAGAGCCCGGAATTATATTCTTTAAAAATAGCCAAGATAAGATGCTAATATTCTCTTAAAAAGTTGAAAATATTCTTCCAATATTCTTTAAAAATCATAATAAAATATGCCAAAAATATGCTTTTTGCTTGGAGCTAGCTATTTTTGTGTAGTAATTCYATTTTTTGTCGGGCATTGTTATCTTAGATAAGTCACATATCTTATATACTACARTGGATTGCAGCACATTACTACGTAGGGTATAATAATCGTATATACGATGGACGATGGTATATAAATATATAGTATATTTTCAATATCATGTCATTATCACTATTATCGGACATACTATAATTTATATTATTTACGTCACTGCAACCAAAAATACCAAACATCTATACAATTTAATCGATATTTTCTCTAATATTCTTTATTATACGAAATATTATTTTATCTTGAAATATTCTCAAATATGCAAAAAAAACTTGCCATTATTACACCTGTTTCATGATTCGTAAAGATTTCAAACCCCCGTCTGACTGCATAGACTCATAAAAAATATGCAAAAGAATATAATTCCGGGCTCTAATCATAACTTAGAAGTCACTCCCAATATGAGTGATTATATTAAATTGTATCTACTAACTTTTTATGACATAGTTGGAATTATTACTTTTTATTTTTAAGCTGTATGTAATTTAGTTAGTAGGACAGAAAAAAGGTAAAATAAATTTTAAGTTTTGTAACATTATATAGATGCACATTTTTTAAAGTCTATAATTTAATTGTTTTGTTTTATATGTTATAACTCTGTAAGTTAATTAAATTAAATATTTAATTTTTATGCAATTGTAATTGACAATGAATATGTCGATACATTTTACCAACAAAAACGTACAATAATAAATTAACGTTAACGACTAGTCAATAACTATAATTCCAATCAATGTAGATAGTTTAAGATATTGACTAGGGCAGTGGTCTTCAACCGGTGGGTCGCTAAGCTTTAAAATTGGGTCGCGATAAGTCTTCTTTTTAAAATAAAAATAAAATTTTTAAAATTATAAAAGGTAAAAAAATTATTTTTTAATTATTAAATTTAGAAATTTAATAAATGAAAATACAGTTTAAAATAGTCACTAGGGTATAGGTAATATCAATCTCCATTTTTTTTATAGGCAATGATGAATTGAGAAATATTTTCTAAGTAATGACAATAATTCTAGTTTTTAGTTTTTAATTGAAAAAAATTGTTAAATTAATTAATCATTTGTTAAATTAAAAATGACCTTAAGTTGTAAAATCAATTTATCGATTCATCTATAACCAGTACAAAAAAAATAGTAAAAGATAGCCAACTATCAGAATTCTTATGAAATTATCTATACTTTATATAGATCATTTATTTGTTATCTGAGCTCAAAAACGTAAATAGTACCTATAATTTGATTTTTTGTAACTGAATAATAATCAATTATGATATTTGCTCTGCCAGTAATTAAAAAAAAAAACAATTTAAATGATCTTTAAATTTTCGTAAAGACGTTTCATATTTGTATTAAAATAGTGAATAGTTCACACTTTACTGTAAAGCAACATGAAAAATCATGTGTAAATCCAAAAAGTACTAAGTTATAGCACTAATATACTGACATGCAAGAATTATGTCAACAGTGTTTAATAGATAGAATTTTATATTACATTGATACACTAATTGAATACATTAGTTGATAATTGTTAATATAAATTATTACATTTAGGCACCTTTGAATGTGTATCGTTTGATTGTGAGAGGTATGTATTTTAACGAAGTAATTATAATTATATGTCTAGGACATGTTATATTATATTAATTACAATAATAATAATAATAATAAAAATGTAAGTATCTATAAAATTAATTCAAAATTAATAAAACCAAATTCATTATGTCACTCACTCAGTCATTCATAGAAGATATATACAACTCATTATAAAGTATTAATATAAGTCATTAGCAATATTAACTATTAATATTAGAATAACAAGTATATTCTAGAAATTTAAGTACTCAAGAATAATATTTTTAAATTACAACAATATAACTAAAAATTGTTATTTTTAATTATTTAATATGTAATTTCATTCAAATTTGAACTTAAAATATCTATTTAAAAAAACGGTGTTTGTAAAGTTTTTAGATTTTTTTTTCACAGCAGAATTAAATATTTACGTGAAACATTGTTTTAAATTTTCAATCCTAAGCTGTACAATTTAAACTTTTTATACATTTTTAACAACTAAAGCATTTGCACATTTTCGATTAAATAAATTTTGTCAAAATTTAACCTTCAAAAAACGTGCTTGTAATTAAAATTTTAGTCATTTATAAAAAAAAAAAACTAAAAAAGGTCAAACATTTTAAATGTCTATAGATAACTTTAAAAATATTTGAAATATTTTAGCGATGAATATGTACGATTTTAGATAAATATGGAAGACTTTTTAAATTCCACTTTAGTATTGATTTTTTTAAAAATGTATTTAGAAGCATTTCCCACCTGGATTTAAGGAAATTTTAAAATTTAAAATTTAATTTAAATAGATGTAAAGATATTTGAAATGAGCACAACTCTGATATGTAAGGATAAATATTCACTAATATTATGACAAATTATTGTAATTTGGTAAATTTTAGAACATTATTTAAATATTAAAACATATACAAATTAAATATGTATACAAGATAACACATATTGTTTATATAATATAATATAATATAATATTTGAAGAACTGTTGGTAATAGTTAATAAAACCCAGTGGCTTAGAACGTGTCTAATAATAATATACTTGGCAATTTAAACTTAAAGAATATTGTTTGTGCAAAAAGTTTAAAACGATCTCAGTCAAATAATAAATCACATATTTTGCCATTTCGCTATATAATATATATTCTATTATAAATACAATACAATACATTTTTATACAAATTATCAACTTGTTTAGAAATAATTGCTTTTATGCTTATAACTTTGTAAAACAGAACTTTAAGTCTTTAACTTTTTAAATGCTTTGAACGTACTATTACATCTAAAACATGTACACCATTCACTGCTATAGACATACTATTATGTTTCTATATTTTATAAAATTATTATTTGCCAGTAATATTAAAAAGATTCTATATTGACATATCTGTCGATCTAATCAATCGCATATTTTATTATTTACGACCTTTTTTTGGCACGAATGCAACATGCAAGATACCTGTAGTAGGTACATACAAATTATCAGTCATGAATGAACGAAAATATTTAGAAGTTTTTCCCTCACAAAAAAACAATAATGCAATAATATAGTGTTTATATATTGTGAAATACTAGATATCTATTGTAGCGAGTTGTGATTAAATCCAAATAAAGTAGTAGTATTATAATATGCATTAATGTATTAATAAATATATATGTGAAAGGACATCCGGTTTGTGTGGTGCATGTAGTTGCATATGCTCGCTTTATGACCATGAATATGAGATATACAGGGATATCAAATGTAGCTGGGACTAGAGATTCTTTCTACGAGAGAAGCTCGTAGACGATACAATCATCAGACGAACAACAAGCAGCTAGCGGCTAGATGACAAGAATACTTAATCACATCTCGCTCATCCACATTTCAATCATTTGGACTTAGTCGATTTTTTATTTAAAATATTATTTGTGCTTAGCCGAATTTAATTTAATAAATTATTTGGACTTTAAATAAATTTATACAATTTACAATATTTCAACAAGTGTTATCTATTTATCCATTAATCCATTTGATTAGTTTTAAACGTTATTTGCCACTTGCCACTAAAAAACATAATTTTATTATGATTTAATTATCCTTCATATTTTATTTCATTAATTTTTCTTGAGAATACATAGTGCAGTCTTCATTGTGTATTATAAGACCATAATTTTATCCACATTTCTTTTTTGATTCTTAAAAATTAATTGCATGCGGGCACCAATACCTTTCCATTTTTATTTTCAAAATATAGCTCTAGTTTATTTTTGTGTACACAATTTTTAAACTTTATTTGCCACTTGCCACTAAAAAAATATAATTTTATCATGATTTAATTATCCTTCATATTTTATTTCATTAATTTTGCTTGAGAATACATAGTGCAGTCTTCATTGTGTATTCTAAGACCATAAATTTATACACATTTCTTTTTTGATTCTTAAAAATCAATTGCCTGCGAGCACAGATAGGTATTGTAAGATTATATTTAATATAAGATTTATATTTTTATGATATTTTATGTAAAAACTAAAAAATTAAAGGTTTCAATAATAAGTAATCTAAATCATTATAATACATTTTATTTCTAGCCCGTTTTACAATCATAGTTTATACCTCAAATACGCTTATTAACCCACTGATGTTATCAGCTGAATTCGGCGGTTTAACTTTAATTTAACTATTGTACAACAGGCTCTTAGAAGCCCTTGAAAGTATTAACTGTTAAGTATTCAGTTTAAACTATGAAATTAGATCTTAGCATGAATAAGTCGATAAAATGATTAAGAATATAACAGAAAACAGCAGTGTTGAAAATAACAGATATATGAAAGTGGATTGAAAGCAGATTTGTTTCAAACATTAAGAGGACGCTACACCCGCATATGTTGTCTCCGTCTTACAAGTGCGTAACATAGCAAATTTTATGCTCAGCAGATCACGTTTAGCTCCGTTAGTTTAAAATTTAGAGTAAATTGACTTCTTACAAAAATTAAAGGTAACATTATTATCGAGGGCATGACGTAGGCTTTTTATTATATTTTAATTTTAAAGTGAGTTATGTGTATTTTAAAATTTAAAATTGTTTGTATATCTTAAAATACACATAACTCACTTTAAAATTAAAATATAATAAAAAGCCTACGTCATGCCCTTGATAATAATATTACCTTTAATTTTTGTAAGAGGTCAATTTACTCTAAATTTTAAACTAACGGAGCTAAACGTGATCTGCTGAGTATAAAATTTGGTATGTTACGCACTTGTAAGACGGAGACAACATATGCGGGGTAGCGTCGTCTTAATGAACAGTAATTTCCCATGATAAAATGAAAATGCTCTTCAAACAATAGAAAATAAATTATTAGATACCTACCAGTTTTAGTACACATTGATAAGGTAGAATATTTTTATGATTATAAATTAATATCTTTGATTTAGTGAATATTATGATGTAATTAAAATTCACATGTTTAGGTTACTGAACTTGGTAATTATGTGCGTAATATATTACCAAGTACCAAAAAAAACCATAATACATTTCCTTTCAAAGGCTCATTGCTATAAAAATAGGTATTGTTATAAAGGAAAAAATAAGAAAAGAGTGTTTTTAACTCTATATACTTGCTCCATTGTTGCTTGTTGCCTTTATAGATAGTTAATAATAATATAAGTACCTAAAGCTTTCACGAATAAAGGATAGGTATTCAATAACACAATAACCTATATACATAAACATCAATCGGATGTTGGTATCTAAGATCTAACCCCATTGACCGGTAATATTACTAGAATAAATATAAAAAGTTAGTCAACCAATACTCACATGTGATGGGTAAAAGATTTCATCTCGCTCCTAACATTATTATCACGCTTATAATATAATGAAAATAACAACAATACATCGACTGCAAGCAACCACTCAGCTACAGCCACTGACATCAACAGCCAAAATAAACAAAATCAATAATGGCACCAAGATATACACGTTTAAGTGTAGAAACTACCTTCACAATGTTCACAAACACGTTGATTCATAGAACAAATTCCTGGTTATTCAGCTACCCTAGAAATGGAAAAACAATATTACCAATGGAAAATGATGAACAGATATAATAACAAGACGATACAGGTACAAATCACAATTCACAGACGACATAGTTTGTGACTTAGGGCAAAACATGAACAATGAAACATAAATGTGTTGGACGGTTAACGGAGATCAAAGAAACACAGCTCAACGTTTGAAAAGTCAATCAATGAGCAAGAAATCACACATAGAAGTCGATATAAACTTTGAGATGACGGATTAGTAGTTAGTACCACATAAGCCAACTTGAAACATTGAACTATTTAAACCAAAATTAACTCTGGTATCAATAAATTAAAATGATAATTAAGTAAGAGCCCACTGGCGAAAGTGGCGACTGACAGTCCGCTAGGCTCATTTCATAATATGTGCCGCGTATCAATGTATCATACGCGTCGTATCGTACGCGCGCGTTTTTAGTTAACATTAATTTAGTTCATACGCGTCATATTGGAGAGAGAAACGCGCGCGTACGACACTTCGCGTATGATACGCGTCCATGTGAAACGGTCCTTAGCCCTTARTATTAATAACAATGATTACATTGTTATCGACTACGCGGCTATAGTGAACAGAGTAGGGTGCAGTTATACAAAAAACGAAAATATCCCTCGACTTGCTATGCAACACAACTATAAGTTGGTCACGTACTCACGTCTGGGTAACCGGCGTAAAACTACTCTTATCAGTTTTTGGACAACTGCTTATCACTCAACAGAACCCTACCGTTGTAGTTCATTGTGTTAAAATAAATGAAAGTGTTATTTGATAAAAAAATCACTCTGTATATATGCAAATATAAATTTAATTAAAAATATCTTAAATCGTGGTTATAAACTTAGATCATTATTATATGGATGCCCATAGATATATATAACCATAGAATATAATGGAAGCGRCAGTCAAACAGCTGATCGATTTGTTTTCATTTTGCCGGTGGTTCGGCATGAAGTTGGCAGTGGAGGCTCGGCATGATGTTATAACCGTATTGTAATTTTAAATCTGTAGCATATTTCGACTGTTTTCATTTTTTTCCGTGATATTGATAATTTAAATTTTTAAAAATTAGGCAATACATTAGCATTGCGATACGGTTACAACAACATACCGGTCATCCGCTGTCAACATTATGCCGAGCCTCCGGCTCAAGGTCAACAGAAATATTTTTCGGTGATCAATGGGATTTTGATAGCTGTCACTTCTATTATATTCTAGGAAATAACTAGTCATCTTTATACTAAATTTGTGAGTTTGTGACAGATGGTCAAGTTGGCTGCCATTTACAAAACAGGCAATGTTTACATTTATTCTTATCATTGGGATATTGATAATGGCATGCTATTCATAATCATTTAATCACCATAATATTGCTAAATTGTAAGGTTTATAAACAGGGCAATACAGTTCTCCTACACATTGATAAGAAACTGCTTGGGGGAATTTAAAATTATAAATAATACCAACTGTCTTTTTTCAGAAAATTTATATCAAGGTATTTAGTATTATACAACCACACCCATTGTACTTATAATACAAAAAGTACCAAAATAATTTATATTTAGACAAWATTTATTAGACATTKATTTTGTACTTACTTAGTAATTTTTGTAATTAATTTTTTTTTAGTTTCTAAATCGCATTTCTAGTATCAACAATTAATTTCCCATTATGGACCACAATTACGCGGCTAATGAAGTGGAAGTAGAAATTGACGGTATAATTTATTTATAATTATTCATTTTGAAAAATACAGTCTGTAAATAATGTTTACAATAATCATATGATTTAGTACTATAAATACAATAATAATATTTAATAATTTTATATTCTTAAAAAATATGTCAATAGGTACTTGTTCATTCTAGTATCTATCCAGTAACATTCCTAAAACCTAAGTACCTATGTAATATATTGCATTACAAATTGCGATTATAATTATTATATATTTAACATGGCTAAAATTAATAAACTATAAACTATTACTTAGCCATATACCTAGCCAACTACCATTATTAATTTTTTAGCTCATGAAGAAAATGCAAACATTTTACAGCAGGGGGTAATTGAAACGTATACAACATTGCCTGGTGTTCAACTAAAGTCTTTAGTCTATATGGATAATTTAGGCTATAGATATTATAAAAATAATAGTCGTAACAATAAAGTGTAAGTGTAGCAATATGTCAGAAATGAAGATTTTATTATCTGTTAATATTTTTTAATATTTAGTTATTTGGTATGTGAAAACCAAAAAAATAGAGCTGAATTCTGTCCAATCACAGCAATTATAAGTGTGGTCATAAATGAAAATTGGATTAGGACTAATAGGAACCATAATCATTATCCACCAGTAGTTGATATTCCAATGGTTCATTTAAGGAGAAGTATCGGAATGTCATCAGGAACAAGTTCTGGAATAATGTCAAACTCAATAAGAAATATTTATAACAATGAAATAATTGCGTAAGTTAGGTTTGGTTAATAGGTAACTTTTTTCTTATAAAATAATATAGTCATATTTTTGATTATTATAGAAATCCAAATGGTGCAAGGAATTATACATTTCCCCAATCCCAAGCAAGTGTACAAAGAATGCGTCATTGTCGTCGTCCACCAAATCCATACACTATTGAAGAGTTGGCAGGTATTCTGAATGAACATAATATGGCATATGCACCAACCCTGCAGCGTCCACCATCAYGGTGAGAGCAGATAGGACAAATTATCTTTCAATTTCTCATCAATTATTGGTATTTAGGTTTTATCAACAACTATTTGAAGCTGAGGGAGAAACTGTTGGAATAGTATTTTTTAACTTTGATGCTATTGAAAAGTATAGAAATGAGCTTTTATCTGTCAGAGTTGCAGGAATTGATGGAACCTTTAAAACGGTACCTAAACGTCCTCTTCAGTTTACTAAAGGTTGTCTTCTGACCTTTCATGTACTTTTTCATAATGTTGTAAGTTAATGCATTTAATTAAATTGTTTTGTTCTTTTAATGCAAAGCATAGGTTAATTAATTATTGCCTTAAATTACGAGGTATATCCAGAAAGTAAGTTCCGTTTTCTATTTTTATTTTTGCATGGGAACAATTTAATCATCCGCCCTACAGTCCAGATTTGGCACCCAGTGATTTTCATCTTTTTTTACACATGAAATCATTTATGGGTGGCCAGAACTTCAACGAAGATGATGAGGTGAAAAAGGCTATTAGCGCATGGTTACAATCACAGGCGTCATCTTTCTATGATGAAGGGATACAAAAACTAGTACCTCGATATGATAAGTGCTTAAATAATGGTGGTAACTATGTTGAAAAATAGAGCAATACATGTATTTTATATTCAAATAAAATTTATAATAAAATTTACACATTTACATGTTTTTATTGCCCAACGGAACTTACTTTCTGGACACGCCTCGTAATAATTTATGTTCAATTAACTTTTTGTAATATTATGTCATATACATTTTCCACGGTTTAGTCTTTTCCAATGGTGTATGCTCTCACATCAAAAATGACCCAAGCAACATAGAATCGTTCTTCAATATTGTTTTGAGAGTTTACCACTGAATTATGCTCAACTGACTATAGTTACAGACTATGAAAGAGGCTTGATGAATGCTGTGAGAAGCATTTTTATTGAAAGCAATCTGCAAGGTTGTTGGTTTCATTACTGCCAAGTAAGAAATATGTTAAATAATTCCACAATTTGCAAGTTTTCATGCCTTCTGGTTTTATAATAAATTTATTATTACAGGCTATTATTTGGTACTGCCGGAGAACCTTAAATAGTGTTTTTCACTTATTTCAAAATACTTCTGAAGCCCATCGAGTATTGAGAATGGTAATGTAAATATGTAATAAGTAGAGGTCGGATGCATTTAAATATTGTTTACAACCTCCTATTATGCTGCATAGTACACTAGATACAAACCATAAAAATCCTACCTCTAGTAATAAGTTATTAAGTCATTTAAGACACTATATTATTAATTGATACTTGGGATGATTATTTATTCTAAGGTATTGGCATTACCTCATCTCCCAGCGAAAATACACCCCGAGTGTCAATTTACTATGGCAGAAGGGTTTAATACCATAGTTGAATATGCCAATGGTATTGAAGAAATATCAGAACGTTTACAAAGTTTTTTAATTGATTATATTCAACAGTTTTGGTTTAATCAAATAGGCGCAACATGTATAACTGTTTTCGGGTAAGACATCTTTAATAAATGGATTATTATTTTAGTTTTTTTTACTAATGGATTATTTTTGGACTAAAGTTTTTTTTTTGTACTTTTTAGGTCAGATATACGTACAAATAATTATCTAAAATCTTTCCATTCGACATTGCTATCACAACTTGGAAGGCACCCCAATATCTGGGATTATATGCGTAAATATAACTTAATCTTGAATATTTGTGTTTGAGTTATATTTGACTGGTAATATGATATTTTGTGAATTTATTAATGATGAGGAAAAATGGTAAGTGTTATAACTTGTTATTTGAATTAGTTTAAAATTTATTTGGTTCTTAATATTTGTGTTTGTAAGTTATACTTATTTGTTTATACCTAATTATGTTATGTGAATTATTATTCATGGGAAAAAATGGTGAGTGATTATATAACTAATAATTATACTAACCAGATAACTGTGTTTATCTTATTTTATTTGATTAGCAAGACTGCTGTCTATTGAAAACCAGTATTATATAGAAATGGACCAAGCTAGGAGAAATTTAAACATTAGAAATAATACTACACGGGTCCGATGAGCTGAAGCTTCTTCTAAAATAAAACACTATATTCAATTATTAAATGTAGAACAAGATATTTTGATGTTCCTAAAAAGAGCAGGTCATACTATGAATGGATATAATGAAGGACAGCTTGGTCCTCGACTATTGGTATGCTGTTTATTTCTAATATAATTCAATAACAGTGTGTTTTTATAAAACAAAAAAAGTTTTGTTGCTGCTTGTTTAATATTTKTTTTTGTTTTTTAGGAACCATGATTCATTCAAATGCTTTCAGTTCTGTCTTATAGTTTTTTAATATGGACTCTGTGTATTTTTTAAAACATAATCAAATTGTTTCATTTTATATGTTATTAGTGATTAGTACATTAATTGAAATATTTAATTATTATATATTTGTCATTGACGTGTGTATTGACATGTACAAAATATTAATACTATACCTGTGGAGTAAAATCAGTTTTGATTATATTTTATTATTTG